CAAAAGTTCATTTGCACCACGATAATACAAAGAGATACCCATACGTTCTAGATCTGAAGCAATATGGGACTGAACGGTTAAAGATGATACATTACCAATGCTTTTACGGCTAAGGGCATCGACGACTGCATTGGCTTTGCCTGGATGATATTGAATTCGGGCGTCGTAGTCCTTAAGAAGTTCGAGCCATCATCGTTGACGCATATTCAACTCTTTTTGCGTGAAGATGTACTTTAAGCTTTTATGATCGATAAAAATATCACAAGTCTCTCCGTACAAATAATGACGCCATATTTTGAGTGCAAAAATGACTGCTGCCAAATCAAGATCATGAGTAGGGTAGTTTACTTCATAAGTTTTGAGCTGACGAGAGGCATACGCAATCACTTTGTCGTGCTGCATTAAAACACAACCAAGACCACTTTTAGAAGCATCACTATATACCTGAAAACCTCCCGATCCAGATGGTAATGCAAGAACAAGCGTTGTAATCAATCTCTTTCTCAGTTTTTCAAAACTCTTTTCCTGTTCTTCACATCAAACAAATTTAAATTCTTTTCGAAGAAGTTTAGTCATAGGGAGCGCGATCCGGGAAAAGTTTTCAACAAACCGTTAATAGTAACCTGCCAGACCTAGGAAACTTCGGACTTCAGAAACATTTGTTGGTTTTGGCCAGTTAGTGATAGCCTCAACGTTTGCAGGATCGACTTTAATTCCTTCGCCGGATATAATGTGGCCCAAAAATGCCACTTGATGCAACCAAAATTCACACTTAGAAAATTTTGCGTACAACTTCTTATTTTGAAGAGTTTCTAAAGTAATACGCAAGTGAGTTTCGTGATCTTCTTTCAACTTTGAATATATGAGAATATCGCCAATAAAAACGATAACAAAGTCGTCCAAATAATCTTTGAAAGCTCGGTTCATAAGATCCATAAAAACTGCTGGAGCATTAGTTAACCTGAATGGCATAACAATGAACTCGTAATGCCCATATCGAGTACGGAATGCAGTCTTAGGAATATCCTGATCTTTGATCCGGAGTTGGTGATGTCCAGACCTTAAGTCGATCTTAGAAAAATACTTTGCTCCTTGGAGTTGATCGCAGAGATCGTCAATACGAGGTAAAGGGTATTTATTACGTACCGTGACCCGATTTAGTTCCTAATAGTCAATACACAACCGCATCGATCCATCTTTCTTTTTAACGAATAGGACCGGTGCACCCCACAGAGATATACTGGGTCGAATGAAACCCCGATTAGAAAGATCTTCAAGTTATTCCTTAAGTTCTTTCATTTCGGTTGGAGCCATACGATACGGAGCCTTTGAGATAGGTGCAGCTCCCGGAACAAGATCAATTGTAAATTCAATTTCCCTTTCCGGAGGAACTCCTGGAAGTTCATCTGGAAAGACGTCTTGAAATTGATTAACAATAGGAATATCTTCAAGTTTAAGACATACCTCTTCGGGATCTTGTAATGAAGCTAAAAATCCTTCACATCCTTGCCATACCATTGCTTTAACATTTACTTCTAAGATAACACGAGTTCCCTTCTCAGGTGAAACACCATGGAACACGTATTCAGGTTCATTGACGTCACCGAAGATGATTTGTTTGGCTTTGCAGTCGATGGTCACTCGATGTTTAGACACCCAATCCATGCCAATGATGATATCAAAGTGATACATCTTCATCGGTAGTAAAGTAACTTCCCGAATTCGATCGCCAATAAATAACAGACAGTTTGGGAATTGCCGAAATATACATACTGAACTACCCATAGGAGTAGTAATATGTAATGGAAATTCAGTGGATTGTTCATACGATTTAAGATTTTCATCAAAGTTTTCAGAAACAATCGAGTGTGTAGCACCTATATCAAATAAAATATATGCATCTCTACTGTCAATAGAAAAGGTACCAGAAACCATACCCGCAGTAGATTTGTCAGCAGATAGTGTAAACACTCGACCACCTGCAGTAGATTGCTTCTCTTTATCTTTAGAATTATCTTTCGGCCCTTGTTTACAATCATGAGCTATATGACCTCGTTGACCACAATTATAACAGGCGCCGGTCATTCGAATACATGGGTCAGGACGATGTCTAAAACCACAATCTTTGCACCGTAACAAAGAATTTGTATTCGAAAAACCTTTACTAGAAGTTCCTTGAAATGCAATTGGATGTCTATAATTGGGTTGTTTCCACAGACTTGTCCGATTGGTTCTTCATCAGGTAGAATTCCCTTGAAACACATCTCTGTTTCCTTTCGTACCACTATCACCTTAGGAAAGTATAGAGTCTAAGATAATCCTATCTTAGTTCTACCCATTTCTTACAGATCAAACTTATATTGTACTACAAGATCATAACTTATAGCTCTGATACCACAACTTGTAACACTCCCGTCCCGCGTGATCAAAGACGGGAGATGCCGCAATTAGGATAAAAATAACGCGCTATATAAAACAGAGCAGCTAATAAAATTTACCAAAAGATAATTACATAACCATAGACGGAGATAACGTGTCTCAAAATACGGTCCCAAAATATCAGTATATCTAYAATAGTCATCAAAAGTTTAACAAAAGTATGACTTAATGAGTTATCTTCAATATTGTCATCTCCGTAGCTCTCATCCCAAAATCCYTGCTAAGTCATGTACCTGCCGAGGACAAGAAAATCTCGGCTGAGCTTAATGCTTAGTGAACGGATAATAATAATTAAACAATGAATATGAGATAACAAGATCAAAAGCAATTTATAAAGCCAAGTGATAATTCAAAAGAAAATCAAAATGCCCCAAAAGCATATCAAGGGTCCGAAGACCAAAGCGCATCACGAGGACGCATTGTTCCCAAAGGATGATCAGTCCATTCAGGCACAAGTGAGGAAAGGGGTGTGAGCACAACACAGCAATCCTCTCCGTGGATTTAACCAYRRCCATAATTCAATATCCGATAACGGTTCCTAGGATCGATCCATACGCCCTCTATTCGACCGGTACATAATCAAGCCCACTTTTAAGGACTATAAAAATAAGGACGCCATGATCGTTTTAGTCACCATGGAAACATCTCAATACCGGTGCTCCAGTTATTGAGTCTATAGCAAAATGTTTCACAAATGAAGCAATAAAACAAGTCAAGTGATCAAAATGATCCATATTCCAAATAAAAATGTTCATCATAATTGATGAGCACAATGAGAATTTGGAACCAATATATTCGGATTAGGAAGCCTTACGCAAATGGCTATCCTCGTGTCAAGTGAGATATGAAATCCGTACCTTAACCGAATTTGACAATTAACGCACGATCAAACAGAAATTCACGATCAAGTTTGATTTGCCCGCGTGCCTAACGAATGCATAACTAGTTACTATTTACAAAGCATAAAAAAACCGTAACATAATTATTCTACTAAATTTACTTAGGTCTTAATATACTTAAACAACGTAGACTTCAAGAAGGACAGCTGGATACGAATTGAAAACTCAAACGTAAAACTTAACCTTATTTTCTTTCGATCCAACCGCTTCCGTCCCTCTTATTTCTAAGCATTTTTACTCTAGATTATATTGTCTAAACGGAAGCTGTAGATTGGTGTCAAATGAGTCTATTGCTTTTGAAATCATCTCATTTGGATCATCCATCTATTTTATATGAATTTTACAAAACTGCAAATTAATCCCGGATACAGTGTAAACAACCCCGAAAACACACTGTTCCGAGCCACTTAGAGTCATAACTGGAATTTTGACCCTTAATAAAAGTTGTAGTATGCAGTATGATCTTCCTGACTACAAAATACGAGCTTAATCCGACTTACGGGTTGTGAGTTATACACTGCCAAAGTACAGGGGTTGCATTGTCGGTAAAATTCGATTCCGTAATTCCCGACTAACTTTTATGATCCAACTTTCATGATTTGCTACATTTACATGCTATAAACGTACTTAAACGTACTAAACAGTAAAATAAGTCTAATGGCCGTTAACCTAAGCTTAATCATGCATTTTTACTCCTTTCGACATTTAACCGAACAATTGGTGTACGGTTAAACATTTACCCACAATCTAACCATATTGAAACTATATATACCATTTTTATTTCTACATCAATATAATCAGTCCTAGCATTCTAAGTATCAAATATATCATAATTTTGACAATATCAATCCGTAAACTTAGATATAAACACGGTTTATAAACCGGTCTTAATAACCCTAACATAAACACCATAATAAAACTGAATGAAATTTATACCTTTAAGAAGGGTTCAGAGAGTGGATTCCGAATATATATTTGTTACTTCGATCCCTTTAGTAACTTAATGTAAAATTTAGAGAGAAGACAAGAGATTTTTAGAGAGAAAAAAAAATGAGAGGGAGAGATTGAGACGGTAGAAATGGCGGTTCATAACCGCCTATGTATATACACACGCATATATATATATATAAAGTTTAATTATTTGGCGGTTTTAACCCTTTAAGTTAGATTCTCAGCTTTATGCCAATATTGGTATAAACTCAACTTTTGACATAAAACTAGTACAAGTTGGTTAAGCATAGAGTACAAATATGTTATGCATAATTCTACCAAAAATTCACTTAACCCAATTTGTACGAGTTAACGAAACACGAATATTATACAATCCATGCCTATGACTATATCAAAGCTTCCTAACTCAATCGGAATAAGGTCTATACGAAAATCCTTGTTGGCTAAACTTAGTGTGCAACCCATGATTATATCTCTTAATTTCTCGTCCATTGGCAAATTCTATTATGTAAGCTTCTTTCAACCTTTGGGGTCTTAAGTTAATCTTTGGCTTAAAATCTAATAATATAAAGCTTCTGTCTTCCCCTGAATCAAACAAAACCGATGCAAATTCATTATTCAAGAGAAATGTACCTGTAACCACATTGGGATCATACCTAGCTTCCTTTGCTCCAATCTCAAATGCTCGGCCCCGTGCTTGACTTTCCGGGTTTCCTTGATTGGCCGGTCGGGCTTGGTTATCATTTGTTCCTTGTTTTCTCTTTGGGCACACATTCCTTATGTGGTCTGGAGTCCCACAATCAAAACACAATCGCTTCCTGCAATATTTCACGGCATGACCACCTCTGTGGCATCTTTGGCAGATGATGCAATTTCCCCAGTGTGGATATTGGCATTTATTGCACTTAGGTTTGCTTTCTTGGTTTACCACCTGGGTCTGAACCCCAAAACTCCCTGCTACTTTCCTATTCTTGTCAAATCTTCCCCCAAATCTTCGATTCCCATGCTCTTTCATCCTTCTCTTTCCTTTGGCGAACTCTCCAGATCGAACATCATTATTTGTGAGTTTAGTGGCAATGTGTATTGCCTCCTGAAGAGTCTTTAGGTTTGCCGAGGTGATGTTTCCTCGAATCTCTGGAGACAATCCCCAAATATCTCTCTCAATTCGAACTTCCTCGGGTGTCACCAGATGTGGCACTAAGTTCGCTAACTCATGGAATCGAGCGGTATATACAGCTATGTTTTCCCCTTTCATCTCATGGTTCCATAACTCCATTTCCAACTTTTGGAGTTCACTTCTTGGGTTGTATTCGTCTTTAAGTAGTTTCTTGAACTCTTCCCACGAAAGTTGATTGGCCGATTCTCGACCCCTAGTCCGAACTAATGTGTTCCACCATGTCAGCGTTCGACCTTGCAGTAGACATGTTGAATATTCTACTTTATTTGGTTCTGAGCATTTACTAATATGGAGGACAGACTCCATACTTTCCATCCAGGTTAGTAATCCTACGGCTCCCTCAGTTCCATGGAATTCCTTTGGGTTGCAAGATCTGAAAGATTTATAAGTGCATTCTCTGGGTGTTCTAGGCTCAAAATTGGTGGGTTGGTTAACGTTCAATCCTGCCGTTACTTGGCTAACAATGTTGGGGAGTGCAGCCAATAGTTGTTCATATACGAGTCGTACAACCTCACGGTTTTCTCTTCTTGGCGGCATTTTCTATGGCCTAAGTCAGAAGAGAATTTCATCATTATTATGGTAATAACAAGGGCAATAACTTCCAGTCATTTAAATGATGCAAAGGGCATTCATCGAACGAATAACATTCAAGCATTTATATAATTAAACAGAATAATCTTATATTCAACCATGACTCAAGGTGAATAAGCATTTCTCAAAAGATGTCGGATGTTCATAGTTCATTACAACCTATCAAAACAAGTTCTTGGGTTTCTTTGCAAAAGAGTGGATAGCCTATCACTAGTCAATCTTTCTAGAATGACATCCAACCAATCAGCATTCCTAGTATCAACATCATCATTCCACTCACTACCAACCACTTGTACAGTCTCCTAATCTCCCGTCTCGTAGCAATGACGGCATCCGAGTTCCTCATCATACGCTGGTGGTGCATTTCCATCACATCAGATAAGTTGTTTAGAATGTGATGGTGGTATCCCAGTCGGGTCTGGTGAACTTGAGTATCTAATGCGATTCTCCGCACCCATTCTCGCTCAGCCAGATTCATGCCCCGAGTGCAGGATGCAGGTACTCCGGTCACCACTTGAGAAATCCTGCTCCCTAGCGGTGGTTGTGATGACTCTCCTCTAACTCTAGCAGAGTTCTCAAATGTCACTCGTCGAGGTAGTGGTTACTTTTCCTAGGCATGACTCTAATCCTTGGGCCATGAAAGGTTTGAGGTGGGATATCGGGTACTGGCTCCGATGGGGGTAATATGGATGCTGGTGGTGATGCAGGTGTCTCATTGGTTGTTGTGTCCTCATGCTCGTATGGGTCAACCTCCATATTGATGGATGAGCTCCTTCTGGATCAGCGAACCACATAGCCGGATTCGTCTGCCGAATATTCACTAGGAGCAGATGATGCCATAGTGATCTGCGATATGAACAATCTTAATTACTAAATGTACCATCCAAAAAAAATGTTTAGTGTTATAACAAAAGCTTCTAAGAAAGGCTAAGGATGGCAATCAAGCTAAGGCCTTGGGGTAGTCCAAGTCTCTTGTCGCAGTACCAGAGCTTCTGGTTGCATTACCAGAGCCTCTGGTTGCTTTACCA